ATCTTTTGATAATAATGAGAGCTTTACTTACAGTGATAATAGACAGGAAATCTTAAAAATACTGGGAGGCTCATTATTCCTGGGACACCCGATATTATAGTTCTGTCTTGTTTTATGCCCAGCTCTACCATACAAGCCATGAATATAATCGAGGAACTAACTATAAGGGAAATTCTCTCATAGTAAACTTTCACTTCTCTATGAGTACTATTGTTAAATTGTTGAAATCTGTTATAGAAAAAGGAAAATATTGTTCACGAAATAGTTCTGTCGTAAGAAGACTCATTATAAAATGATGATTATTTTAATGTTTCAAATTTTTTGCTGTAAATCAAAACTACTCTTACATACTTATTACATAAAAAGTTTCATTTGATCAATTAACTTACCTTCATCAGGTGTTTGTAATCGTTTATATCTTACAATACTAATTTTGTGACAATGTTTAGCCCATGTTATATTATTTAAATAAATAAATTCTTCATGCGTTGAATGTGTATGTACTAACACACAAAATAGACGTGCTTTAATATCTTTTGTATTTATATTTGTTATTATTATTGGATCAGTACGAATTATAAATGATATTATTAAAAAAATACCCAAAATTGTTAAAAATGTGATAAAACGATTACGAAAACGTCGTCGACCAAATATAAACGGCATTATAATGTGTAAACATTCAAAAGAAGTAAAAAAAAGAAACGAACGAATAAAATTCTAATGTCTTAAGCATAATGCTGATGACTCGTTGTTTTTTTTTTTTTGTAATTTCTTTTTCATAAATACATAGAAAACATTAAAATACTCACATTACAAAAAAAAAAAAGAAAGAACGATTTATAATCTGGCGTTTTTTTTTTTCTTTTTGAATTTTATTATTATTTTTTTTCCGCAAAAAAAATGATACCTATTTTACACAATACTAAATCAGACGCAATTCAGCTGGTTTACCCATTTTAACTATCAATTGTCTTTGTCCATTGATATCTTCATCTTTAACAATTATATTATGTAATTGTTCACGTTCATTTATTGTTTTTTCTTCAATACATCCACCTTGTTCATCTAATAACCATATATCATTACCATTTATAGCTAACCATGATCGATCATCAAATGGAGTTATATAAGTTCCTAGACCACCACTTTTTAAATTCAATCCACGATACATTCGAACAAGTGTAAAATCAAATAAATCAACACGCCATTGATTATTATCACTATGAGGACCTTTTTCAGTTTTTTGTTGTTTTATACAAATAGCTAAACATGTTTCATTAGCACGTATACATGATATAAGACGATCATCAGATTCAAATATATCATGATACCATCGTCTAATAAGAGAACCAGAAACAAGTGACCAACGTTCAATATTTGTACGTGAACCAGATGTTGTTAGAGCAAAAAATACATCGGATGCATTAGGAAGACAAGCAACTGATTGAAAATGACTTCCTATATATATAAAAAAAAAAAAAAGCATTCAATGATAAGTTTTTTGTGCCAACAAAATATAAATGCAACTTTTTCTGATTCTGAATGTACTGTTTATATTATGATATGTGTCACTAGATACCAGAGGTGTCCACAGGGCAGTTTTTTTCACCCTGTCCTGTCCTGTACCCTGCTCTGTCTTACCCCACCCTGTTGGCCAGAAATACTTAGAAAAAAA